CGTTTCGTCAAAAACGTGTTACAAGATGCAATGTCACTATTCTCCTAACTGCCCCCATGTGGCATAGTCCTCTAGCTGAGATCGAGGGGCCTAGCTGGCTGAATGATTGTCGGCGCCTTGATGATGCAGGCGGAAAGGCTGACAAGGCAGCAGTGACCACCCTGCTTGGCTGAGTGTATCCGAGCCAACCCACGCCCTCATTCCGCATTCCGTGTGAGTGTTGACGTCTTTGATGCTTGAAGGTGCGAGGCCTACAAATGCAAAAAAAGTCCATGCATTATTTGCGGTGCGCAGAATCAAGCAACCGGAGCATCCAGCAGCAACGGTGTTTGCGAGAAATTTCTGACATGATGTTGAGATTGATAATGATGTTGTTTGATGATACGCAAGAACTTATGGGGCATGCCGAGACTTGCAAGGCAAAACAAGAACTTCATCTGCATGTCCCTTGCTTCCAGATCGCGCGGGGCAACGTTCACCAGCTTCGGCCACCGTGTGCCTGCATGTTTCATTGGAGTATGAATTTAGCGCAAGTGGCCCCCATCAGACTTTGACGTTGCAGCTTAAAATGATAATTTCAAATAGCCCTCCACGCAATAATTAGCCTCAAGTAGCCTCAAGTAAACAAACACAGTCCAAACATATCTGGCCCTGCCTTTGAAGTTTTAAAACCAAATTCACAATAACTTATTAATTACCATCTAGAGGTAAAAATCGTAGTAAACATTACCGTCCGATTGAGGAACACCCCATGCATGCTCTTCTCTCCTGAAATCCCTTGACCTTGTGTTGCTCACGATTTTTCACCCCATGAAGGGTTTACGGTTTAGGGCTTCGGGTGGGTTGAGGTTACGGTGAAGGAGCTTCGCCGTATCTCTTTACATCCTAAACCGTGTCCCTTCATCCTGAGCCGTGTTCATTCATATCTTGAGCCGTGCCCTTTCACATCGTGAACCGTGCCGCTTCACATCTTGAGCCGTGTCCCATCACATCCTGAACCGTGTCCCTTGTATTTCGTGAACCGTGTCCCTTTTGGGTGAGCCGTGTTGATGGAAAAACCTGAGCCATGTCCTGCAAATCTGGTGCCGTGGCAGCAAAGGAAACCTTTAGAATGACTTATCACCAACGGCCCCCCATGCCGTGTCCCTACCTAAACCCTAGCCCGTGTCCTTTTTCTAGTCAAACATAATGGTGGTCCGCAAACGTTTGCTGCAAAAGCTGCCAACATTCATGCCCATGAGTGCACGGTGAAGGCGTGGGAGCCGCCAGGGCCCGCCTGGCATAACAGCAGCGCACGCGAAGCCTGGTCAAGGGCAGAAAAGAGGCTGTCGCACGCCGGCATCCAGACAAACCGTGGCTGCCCGTTGCCACCCGCGGAAGGGGTCACCAGAGCCGCCTGGCCCTGGGGGAGGCGGTCGTCCAGCAGCTGAGGCCAAGACGGCGCGTCAAATCCGCCGCGAAGCGTGTGGTTTCGGCGGAGCGCAAGCCCAGACCGCCTAGCTGCAGTGGCAGCTGGGCCCGGCGAGTGGCATTGGCATCTCACGTCGGCGGCCGGCCATTGGCCAATAACTCATGCAAGCATGTGAGGACCGCCGTGGTGGCTGGCGAACGTTGCAGTGAAGTTGGTGGGAGACCGCGCGGAGCAGGTAGTGACAGCAGGGAGCCACGCACATGAGGAGCAACAACCACGCAACTTGCAACTCAGGGACCGACGTGAGTCTGGACAACAATTTCTTGTGGGCCTCCAATTTGGATTATTACGGGGCCGCCACAAAAGCGTGGCTGCCGAGCTGCGTGCCCCGCGCCATCATGCCCTGCGGCTCGGCTGGGAGAGTCCAATCGCCCACCCATGCAGGCCGGCGGTCCGGACCAGCAGGGACCTCATCTGCAAAGCCCGCCGGCTCACGTCTTGCCCACGTGCACGTCGATGTTAGCGTGTGCGGCCATCGCCCACGCAGAGCCCTGAACGTGGGGGCAGCGCCGCGCGTTCGGTGGGGCAGGATATGTACGTGTCATCCAAGAACGCAAACAAATCTTCGCCGGGTTCAGGCCCCTGGCAGCAGCCCTTGCGGCCGGGCGCCTGCGAGGGCCCGCCGCTGGATGTTGTGCTGCAGTGGGACTACCCTGTCGGCCCCATCCAATTGCCCTTGCGGCCCTGGGCTGGCAGCTGGTAGCTGGCGTGCCAGAAAGCTCTGTGGATCAGGCGCGCAAAGGTCCGTGGAGAAAAAAAACAGGTACTCGCTGTTGCCGTCGTAGGAAGGGTGGATCGGAGGGATGCGGGGTGCCAAGGCTGGGGATGCAAGGAGGCCATCAAACCATCAAACATGCATCTGCGCGAAATGTGGTCATAGGCCCCTACCCCATACATGTTGACAACTGTTGTTGTGGACGTGCTCATGTCTGTGGCCACGCGGACTGCTTGCGCAAGCGCCTCAGCACCTGCCCGTGGAAAGAGCGTACTGGTAAGGGGCGCATGCCTCCTGCAAGGGCGTGGAGAACTGCGGAGCCAACGTCCGTGACACCAAGCGGCGGAAAACGCCCATGAGGAAAGGGGGTCATTTTGGTCCCCCTAAAAAGCGCTCAATTTGGTCCCCTCAACCCGGACGCCCCGGACTTTGGCCCAAAAGGCCCGGACATGGCTCGCACCTTGACCCGGACCCAGACAACCCGAACTATGGCCCGGACAGCCCGCACTTCAGCCCGGCCCGGACAGCCTGGACATGTGGCCCGGACGGCCCGCGCGGCCTGGTCTGTTGGCCGGACGGTCCAGACATGTGGCCCGGACTGCCCGGACTTTGGCCGGGACACGAGTCCGGGCTTTCCGGGCTGTCCGAGCGGGGTGTTGTGTGGCAAGTGCAAAAGTCATTTTGTTCGCTTTAAGGGGGTTCTGATTGCATAAAATCATGGTAGTCCGGTGCCACATCAATGTCACATCATTCCAAAAGTAGGTGAAAAATAAGTGGGGGAACCACAGAGCACATCAATAACATATCGGAACAAGCAACAAGATGCAAGAACCTGGCAACACATGCCGCGTTGTAGCGCAAGGTTGTTTGTTGCATCTGCTGCCACTCCCCCCATGTCCTCATAGGACCGTGGTCTTGCTGATGCTGTTTCACTTGGACTCGAAAACAAAAACAAAAACCAAAAACATGCATGAACACCATGATAGCTTGAATAGCATGTGGTAACGAACAATTTTAACGCCGAACGCAAGCATGCACACGGCATGTGCACGCAACAATGCCCGTGTTTTTCCCAAACTCATTTCCGCCTGGTTGTTCTAGGGGCCGGGCTGGCTACATGCTAGAGGAGGGGCAGCCTGAGGGGGGTAGCTACATACCAGCCAGGAAAGGTGAAAGGGTGTTGTGAGCTGATTCAGCACGTTTTTGTTTACACCCAATTGAATCATTTCCCATGCGTTTGACATGGCATGACGTGGGGGGCACGCTGTCAAGAGACAAAAAGAGAGCTATTTTGGACGATGATCTGGCCAAAGATTTGTGGTGAGTTCTTTTCGAACTTCGGGCCGTGGTTTATCTCCTGTGAAATTTGGCCGGTCGTTGAGGTCGGCGAACAAATCCGATGGGAGATGACCGGACAGAACAGGAGATGATGGGTGATGACGGGAATGGTGGGAAATGTTGGGAAATGATGGGAAATGGTGGGACATGATTGTGGGAATTGATGGGAAATAGGATGGGATGAATGGTGGGAAATATGATGGGACAAATGATGGGAAATACGCTGGGACATATGATGGGACATGAGGGGGCATGATGCATGATGGGAGACGGGAATTGATGGGAGATATGATGGGACATATGATGAAACATGTGAAATGTGATGGGATATATGATGGGAGATGTGTTGGGATATATGATGGGAAATATGCTGGGGTATGATGGGGAAAAAGATTGCGTGTGTTATAGCTTGGTTGGGTTTGGGGTTCATACCTCGATGAACTCACAGGGCGCACAGCCCCCGTCAGCGAAACGAGGAGGCCCACCGTATTGCAAGTGTTTGCAGGTCATGGATGACGATAAGAAGATAGCAAGTGAAAATTCAAGCGCACGTAAGTTTTGCAAGACTACACTTTGGCAGAAATGTTTGACAAATAGCTTGTTGTTCAAAACACCACGGGGTTGGTACGGCCACAGTATCCCCCACCCCTTGTGCAGAAACATGCAAGCAATCGTTTGAGAGTTCATCCAAATTCATGTCGTGTCCTGGTTGAATACACGCCGCAAAAGACAGCCAGAGGACAGACATTATGCAGACGTGAAGTAATCCAAACATTGTGGCAGGACATGACGAGGTTTTGTCCGAACGCGTTATGAAATGTCAAATGAATACATGTGTTGTGGACGCAAAGCCAGCTCTGCGTACTTTGAAGAAGCTGCCCCTGCTGGTTTTGTATTGTTGGTTGTGGCGCATGATATGTTTTGACATGCATACTGGCAAGGTTTTGCGTACATACCGTTTCTTGCAGGAGCGGCGAGCTCCCACAGAAGCCTCTTCGATGTTGCTGGTCTCTGCGCATGCAGCTGGCTACTTTCGGCTGCCGTATGTGTTGCCTTTTGTTCAAGATATGCGCTGCTATGCTCGGACACGAGGTACAACCAGACAACTGTTCAGGGTTGGACGGTGCCGTGTGTGACGAATTGATTGAGATTTGCAGGCATGCGCTTTGTTGCAGATTCCGGACCCTGGCCCTTGAAACATGCCACTTTGGGTCGCAAGGGGAATCTTGACCGAAAATGTTGAAGCTGTGTTGGAAGGTTGCTCACCGCATGCGAAAAGCAAATGTTGTTTTTCAAGTGAGGAACTTCTTCTTGGTGGGCCGTTGGCCGGCAAGTTCCACAAAGTTGTCCACCATCAGGCAGGCAAGAGAAGAGGCCGGGCAAGTTGCACAATACCCACCCTTAAAAAAAGGGCAGTGACAAAACACGTGATGTGCGAAGCAGGCTCACCTTCGCAGCGTGATAACGGACCTGCTAATGGGAAAGGTGGAACGAGCGGTGGAGTTAGTCAATCTAGAAGGTTCGGTATGGGCCTCTGTGTTGCACACAGGGCGGCCTGCTTGCAGATGGTTGGTTCATGGCATGATGAGGTGACGGTGTATTTTGACGAGCCGGAGAAGCAGACAAAGATTTGGTCCATTGAGCGTCAGCTGGACACAGCCTGCGTGCTCCATGGGCTTAATGCAAGATGCGTACGTCATGTCGCGGACAGGAGAATTCGAGCATGGTTGTGTACTTGGACGCTGACATGACGATTCATCCAGACAGCATTCGATGGGGTCTGGTCCCACTGCTATTGTCGCACACAACTTGGATTGGGGTCCTCTAGCCGCACCATGCCGCACCCTTTTCAATCAGATTTCAGTGTTGTTTGGAGGCCTGTTTTTGTTTTATTTGTTTGGAGGGTCCGAACAACGCAACGGCGACAACCCACCCCTTGCAGTGATGTGCAACGTGTTGTGGAAAAGAACGGCACAGCAGCGGAAATAAAGGAAACGGGTGGAAGGACAGTACTAAACTGGAATTTCTGAATCAATTCTTCATGTTTTTGGCGTTTCCTGCGTGAATGAAATTTCAGGACGTTTTTGTGCGGGATTCCTGGCCAGGGACGGAGTGATGCTTGGTGGCATATGTGGCTTGCAGCCGGCTGAGCACACTGAGAAATCCCAATTTCAGGCCTAAACAGTGGATTTGTGGCTCTGCGAAAGACACGGGCGGCCCGCCTGTTCTTGCAACTTGTTTGGTATAAGCTGTCAGACTGCGAGTTTAGCCACACGACAATTGCGGTATGGTTTGCTGCATGGCGCACTGCTTACAACTACGACGGAGGCGTTTGTGGGAGCAAAAGGTTTGGTGGCCTGTCTCATGGGACCAAAGTGCTCTCGCAGAATCAGTGCTCGAGTTGATAGGCACGGCTATTTTGCCCCAGTTGCTGCGGCCTTGCAGATTGCAGCGCTCCATGAATGAAGAAGGTAGTACTATCTTGCAGGCATGGAGGTGGAGAAGTATGGAAACAGGACGGGATACCGGTCCCAGTGCATGCGATACCTCTTTCCAATCCCGTTTCTGCGTTGCAGAGAGGCTTTATTGATTCTGGTTTTTGCAGAGGGCTATGCTGCACGCCTTCCTCTTTTCTTGCAAGTGTTCAGACGCTTCTCTAACTCAATCAAGGAATGGCCTAGTGCCATATTCAATGTATTGTGACTGCTGGCAATCCACGCTCAGCGACATGATTGGTCCATACAGACAACGCCGGAGTCGTTTGGTAACCTTTGTCGATCCAGAACAGCTTGATGCATCATGCTCAGTCTTGCAATGCAAGAAACACATGGCTTCTGTGAGCATGTATCTGACTTAGCAGCTCCAAGCAATTGGCCGTGTACCAGGTGAACTTCGTTCCAAGTGACCTCTTTGTCGGGCATGGCTTTGACCTTGCCAACATGCGCTTGGTTCAAAATGACCGCATCGCGGCCCTGCCTCCTGTTTGGTTTATGGATTTTCGCTTTTTGATGTTGTGGGACGCTGCCATTGGAGAAGAACAACTTTCTCGCCTAAGGAGTCCTCTGATTGTGCACTGGGTTGCAACCTCAGGCAGCACAGCAAACGACCCCAGGCGGTGTCCAGTCTCTTGTGATCTGTGTCACATATCTAAGGCTGGTACTGGCAGTCATCGTTTGTGGCTAGCCAGGGAGCATCTTGGAAGTAGCATTGTGCAGCTAGAGAGCTTGAGATTGGCAAATATTGGCAAGTCGTTCAGCTAGTAGTATTCTTTTTGCAGGTACTTGCTGCGGCGTTTCAACAAGACTTTCACCAATCCTTCTTGTCAACGGTTGGCTGCAACACCTGCTCAAGGCTTGCCTTGGCCCTTGACGTATCCAGTATAGTACTTGAATATGGGGATCTTATTACAATAAATCCTAAACCCTAAATAGTAGTTTCCATTTTGTTTTCCATTATCCCAATATAACCCCAATGTAACCCCAATATTCCTGCGTAGTATCCCCAGCGGCTTGCAGGTGTTTATCCTAGCTTTGGGAGCCGGGCTCGAACAATTCGGTGCTGCGAAAAGCTCCTGCAAGCACATGAGAGTGGAAACAGGGCGACATTGGAGGACATGTAGTTTTGATCACTGGGGTTCACATGATCCAGCTGTGGTGCACATCCCTTTGTGCTAGGATCTCGCATACTGGGGTTGCTGCGGCTGGCGTCCAGTGATCCCAAGCGATTGTGCTGAGCTGTTTCACCCAGACGTATACAAGTACGGCCCTCAACAGATTTCCAGCGACCTGACAAAACTGGCTGTGATTTCTTCGAGCGTGTGGATGTAGGAATGCTCTATGAGTCTTGACTCGAAGTGTTGAGCAGGCCACTGATGCTGGAGCCGCATTGGGTGATGGTCCCAGCTGTTCCCAAACTGCAGCTTCACGCTTTCTTTACAGCAAAGACTTGTCAGGATGAAGCAGGTGCTGCATTGCTTGTGAGGACAGACAAATTTGTTGCGGTTGGTGATAGCAAAGAGGAACATGGCAGCAAGGAGCTACACTCCGTCCATGGACTTAGTGGTGCACACGCGACGGCACCTCCCTTTGCAACGCTTTCTTTCGAGTCCAGGGTTCAGGTTTCAGAAGCGCTCTGCAAATGTTGAGTCGCAACACAGAAATCTGTGAAGCTCTTAGGGATGGTCAGGGTCTTTTCCAGCGTGTATGTTTCTGAACAGCACACCTGTCAGGTATTTGGATCGCGGCAGAATGGTCATGGAGATATCCTCTCCAGCTGGCACGACCGCAGCTGCCCTGGAAGAAGCCTTCTCACATGACAGCATTCCCATGAGGCAAATCATGTTTTCCCGCGCCTGCCGTTCGACCGGAAAAGGTAGAAAGGCAGCTTATAGGAGTGGGTTGTCGGCTTGCTTGCAGCCGCCCAATGCCGCCTGACTGCATTGCTGCCGTTTCTATTCGCATTTACGCAGCTGATCATGCATGAGTTTGGGACATTGCTGCAGATATCCGCAGATCGCAGGTTAGACCTCTTGCTTGAGAATGCCGCCACGCAGGGGGACGCAACACCTGATGATGCGCAGGCTATGGACAGGTATGGGTTGAAGCATTCACCAAAGTACCTTTGATTCCAGGCTCGCTCGCGTGCTTGGTTAAGAGTGGCCGTGAAGCTGTGCCTTGGCTTGGCAAGCGCCCTCTCACAGGGTTATATAGGGGTTATTTAGAGGTTATATAGAGGTTATATGGAGGTTATATCGGTGAAGCAAGGGTTGTGCAACCTATGCGCATGCACGAAGACACTTGCTGTTCAATCATAGCTGCTGAATGCTGGCATCCCCAAGTCAGGCGCCATTTAGCAGCAGGCCGGCAGCATTGCTCGTGGCACCGAGTTCCCACAACTAACTGGAATGAAAGTCTGTTTTCTTCTCATTAGGTGGAGCTCCTCGTGATTTAGCGATGTTACCGTGGCCGCTGCGAGATGCTCTTGGCCAGGACGGTGCATTGTAAGCTGGTTCATGGCAGGTCCGTCCCAGAGCAATGGCACTTTGAGCAATCTCGGCTTGACCACATATTTTAAGTTTTCTCGCTGAGTCCATGGCTGCATGAGTATTGAGAAAGCGTGTGGAAAAGTCCCTCTTGCTGGCACAGCCTGGAGGACTTGCCGCCAAGAAGCGACGCACTCGCATTGTGCAGCTTTACCGAATCTGTGCACAGCAGTGTTATGTTCGTTTAGCATGCACCTCAGCAGGCACATTGGGTGCATGCTTTGTGGACTTCACCTTTTTTTTAATTTTATTTTGTTGTTTTTTTGGGGGGCATTCCCTTTGTCCCTACGGATTACAACATTTGCGGCAAATTACACCATGTTTAGCTCTTCCAAGGATGTGGCTGCTACAAATTAGAGCATTTGCGGCTCTTCAAAGACTAGGATAAAGGATAGTTTTTTTGGAGGTTTGTGAGTCTTGAAAGGTTGGGAACATCGTACATTACATGATGCGTTCTCACATTTTGGACTAGAGAATCCCCCTGTTTCCTTTGTTGTTAGTACTGCTCTTTCCCTCTTCATTGACATCAGTATACATTTTTGGCATTCGTAGTTGTATGCGTATTACCGTTAGTAGCATTTTTTTTGCGGTTCTGTGCTTCCAAGAAACATCAAGATCTTGCAAGTAACACCAAGCCTCGCAATCGATTGCATGTTCTACTAGTCTTCGTCCAAATTGCGCAAGTCGGGGGGCGAGGCTGCGCTCCCCCCCAACCCCCCGTCTTTGTTTCTAAAACAAAGCAAATGCAGCACATGGGCTTGGCCAAACAATGCTGTCAAAATCCCGTCAGAAGCTACTTGTTTTCATCATGCTTCATGCTTTGCAAGTACTAGTACGCTGATTTTTTTTGATATTGCGATTGTTATTGCTTTTTTTTTTTTTTTTT